AGGTAAAATTGATATAAAATATTGTTTGGCCATAAAGTTGTGATTGTCTATATAGCTGGATGGTATTTTTAAAATTTACCCTTTTTTCTTACTAAAATAATAATTTTTTCCATGTTATTAAAAATATTGTTAGAAAATTATAGTAAAAACATGCATGATATAGTGAAATAAAAATAGTATACACAAGTAAATAAATATAAATTTATAGTAAAAACATGCTGAGTTTAAGGTTAAATGATATGAGAATGTCCTCCATGATTCCATTGATTTGAAAAGTATATATACCGTAAAAAAATACAAGAATAAAATTAAAAAATAAATGAAAGAAATAAATGAAAGAAAAAAAAAACGACGGATAGAGAAGCTCCGTAAAGAATCTCCCATTAAGAATGCAAGTTTTTCTAGTATAGAAGAGTAAATTTTTTGCCAAACACAAGTGTACTTGTCTTATGTTACATCTTGTTCCTCTCATCCCTGAATCTTCGAATAAGAACCAAATACATCCTTTAAACTCGTATTCTTTATCCTTTCTGCATATATTAACAGGAAAAAATATTAAAAAAATAAAAATAAAAAATACAATATTCAAGAACAAAATATACAAGGGACTATATCTTGAATAATAACCTTAGGGCGGACAAGACAAATTATACATAACATATACATCTAAACAAGAAATACAATCATAACGTTAACCTAAAATCAATTCGAGTCCATTTTTAACAACAGTAAAATCATTCCCCGTCAATTCATATTAAAGATATGGCAGCAGTATAAGTACCCAAGAAAGTTTAGAACCTTCCTGGAATTTTCAAGGCCTCCTCGAGAAGAATCAGACGGTTGTGATTTTTATTTTATTTTTCCTCCATGTCTTTGAGTGATAATGAAGTAAATAAACAAGTACAAAAGCATAAATTCCATTGGACTGGTCAGATTCTTCTAAAGCAATGAAATTTGGCCGAAATTTCTTATCCCTACCGTCCAAAACAACGATCATCTTCCGACCGCCATCCAATCCAATATTTACCTAAATGTTGCTCGTTCCCATAGTAACAGCTGAGCTACTTGCTTGGAAGGAGGCGTTTCTTATTCCGACAATCACCACTGTTTTAGGTTTTCCCCCACAACGACTTGTGTCTTGGCCTCATCTTTTGATTGCCACAATAAGATGCATAACCAACTCATAATTTATATAGTTCATGAGTGAAATATACGGAATACAGCCTTCAGCATCCTGCATATATATGATGCAGACTCATCACTAATCAATAAAAACCACAAAATCTTGATTAACTCGTTAAAATTCACTGACATGCAGTAACAAGATGTTGATATTCATAAGATCAATAGACCTGTACGTATAATGGAAAACTCTATTCGAACAAAAACGACTCGTTCAATAATATTGCATGTGGCGAGTGATGACAGTGTTGTTTTTCTTTTTTCCTTCTTTTCTTTTAGAAATCGTGGTTGCAGTAATTGTTAGGTTTCTGCAAATTTTATATATATATATATATATATATATACACATACAATGAAAAAAAGTCCCTAGATCATGTTATATTTATCTATAATTGTCTAGAGTTTATATAAAAATTACATGAAGATAAAATATTTTTTTTAATTTTGAATAATTGTTTCAAATATAAATTGTGATAAATTATAAGTTATCTAAATTTTTAATCTTTTATAGTAATCTATATGAATAATCAATGAGAAATCTCTTACACTTTTTTAGGAGTGAAGAATCGATATACTTTTGAGTACTAATTCCTTTCTTTTGTATTTTCTATGTAACAGTTAGTACTCATATTATTAATTTTTCCCTGAATAATATCACATATATTATTTTAGAATAATTTTAAAAAATTATTTAATCAAGCCCCTATTTGATTGTTCTAGATCTAGAATTTTAATTCTTTATATAAATTATATTCTAATTTTTAATTTTTAAAATTTATTTACAATCAAGTAACACTTGATTAATTATTTCATTTCAATTTTTGAGTAATTGTTTTTATATGTGTGCAACACATTAGGTTCTTTAATAAGTTGACCCAAATATAAATCACAATTCTAAATAAAATAAAATAAAATTTATTAATTTATTATCAATTCAATAATTGATTGATTTATATTTGAAGATTAAATATAATGTCTAGCAACTTGTAATGATCCCCAAAGTATTAAGAAAGTTATAAGTGATTTGACTTAACCTTTCAGTAACTAATTTTTCAATATAATTATTATTCATTCATAAAAAAAATATTTCAATTTAGATATTATAGTATGGAGCGTGTCCACTTTGTCAAATGATATTTGTTCTCAACATTATAGTCATTGATTCTTTAAATAAGTTTTAAAACTATTTTCAATTCTCATTCCACATTATATAAGGATTTACAATTAATACTATTTTAAAACATATGAAACATTTTTTTTCTAATTAATCTAGGGTGATGAATTATCTCTTGATTACTTAAGTACCCTTATATAGTGCATTTTATACTCAATACATACTCATTTGTTAGCTTTGATTATAACAACATGTAATAGGATCAAAACATATTATTCTCTATATAAGATAACTTGGTTATTTCAAATCTAAAGATTACTTACACAACCATCACATTAATATTTATATAGACACAAGTGATCTCTCCATATAGAATTGTTTTGCAGGTCAATTCAATGTACTTGTTATCTAATAAACACCAACATATTAGTTATAGATATCTCTCATACTTCAGCTTATGAGAACAATTGTTTTTTTTTTTATAAAAGGAAGAGCATAACATGAATCAGTCTCAATATCTCTAATTAATTTTCAGTTTTAATAGATTATTGACTAGAAGCATTTAAAAATAATGCTTTGATGCAATAAAAATCTCATAATTATAACAACTTTATAATTTTCTTTACAAAATATTTTTGTCCTAAGAATTTTATCTATATACTTAAATTCATTAATTAAATATTAGATTCATTAATTAAATACTTGATAAATATTAAAAATAAATATGTTTCCATAAACAAAATCAATATAACATATAACCAAACTGATTCAATACATTACACATACACTAACACTGATGAACACCCTCACCAGTTAACAGTAACTCCTAGGAGCCAAACTATAAGGGCGAGCCAGCAAATACAAGGTCCATTAATGAGCACCCACTTATATATAGGTTGAAAATGTAAGAGGTGGGATCTAAAAGAGAGATGTCTTCACACTCTGAAAACCTTCATACCTCTTAATTATTACAATGGATGTTGATAACAGTGTTGTATAAGCAATTTACTTACTACTATATGTGATTTATAAAATATTTGTATTAAATATTATTTATATTTTTTTTTAATCAAAGATAAAATATATTTTTCAATAAACTAACAGAAACTGAATTCTCCTTCCAAAATGATTTTAAAATTATTTGTGTTACTACTTTTTTTTTAAATAACCTCATCATGTTCAATATACTAGAAACAATTTTTTAGGGCATGGGAATGGGATAGACTAAGGCAAAATGATTTTTCTTTTCTTTAGGTTTTCCAAATGTGTGTGTGTCAGTGTGTGTAAGTTATTTTTCAATTTATTTTTTCTCAAAATATCTTATAAATCTCAATAAAAATATTTAAAATTCTTAAACATCATTCATTAGTTTAAAGTTCAAACATCCAAAATTAAATCAAATTAAAACAAAATTCAATATTCTGGTCTATTTTTTGGCATGTTTAATGAACAAAACCACCTTCATCTATTGATGCCAAGTTAAGGTTTTTCTAGTGGCTGTAACATGCCTCATCAAACACTTTTGCTCCCTTTTTATTTTTATGAAAGCATTCTTTCTTTTCCATCAATTTTTAAGAATTATTAGATCATTAGCTCGTGTTATGCATTTCAGATCAAGTTTTTTAAAGTAAAAAAATATTTAAATATTACAAACATGTTTTCTAGCATAAAAAAGAATTTAAATTGTTTGTAGTTGACTCAATATAATTTAGTTAAATTGACATATCCAAAGACAACTCATTCGATTATTAAAAATATAATTTGATTAAAAAGATTTAAGACAATATATTTTTTAAAATATTAAGAGAAAAACATATTGGATCCACTTAGACAATTTAAGATTCAGATCATGAAATCGAGATAATTCTATAGAAAGCAAATTGAAAAAAAAAATATAAAATTCAACTCTCAATTAATCTAATATTGAAAAAGTAATCAACTAAAAAAATAAAAGTCTTCCCAAGTTAATATATCAAACTCGCAACTTGAATCATAATGAGATAAAAATAAACTTATAGAAAGCAAACTGAAAAACAATTATGAAATTTAATTCTATATTAATCAAATATTGAATGATGAAATCGAAAAAAAATCTACCAAAAAATAAAAAAATCGAGTTAACATATCAAATCTATAAACCTATATCATATGATTGAGATAAGACAACTAGTTAATATTGAAAAATAAAATTTTAAACCTTAAAAAAAAATTGTTTGAGTGAATTTTTCTTTACGAGGAAGGGAACTTAAATTTTTTGTTAAAAATAAAATAAGAATCAAGTGGAGCATCAAAACTTAAAGTTTGATCATATAAATGTATTAGTTGAAGCTCATTGTTTTCCAATTTTAATGTTTATTTTTTAATTTAAATTTGTTTGATCATGTAAAATTAATGTTAAAATGTTTTATAATACATTGATTATACATGAACATGTACATAAAAACAAATTTCAATACATAAAATCATGTAAATATAACTTATAAGGATAATATTAAAAAAAAGAAAAATTTAAATGATGAAAGTGAAAAAAAAAAATTAAAGAATCTAAAAGGAAGTAAGTTGCTATGAAAAGATTGAACCGTCTAATTGTATAATTCAATGTATAATATTACTTAGGGGAAACGAGGAGGAAAAAAAATAAAATAGAAAAGGCCCAATCCGCTACTTTTATAAAATTTAAAATAGAATCAATCCCCTGAGCATTTGAGGAAACCCGCAAAAGTCCACAAAGCCCATTATCACACACAAAAATAAATAAATAAAACTCAAGTCTGGACGCGTAATTGTCCCCGTCGCCGGAGCCAGAGATCAAGTCGTCTGCTCAAATTCTTGAGGTTAGTCTCTTTCTTTGATCTCTCTCTCTCTCTCTTTGTTTATATCTGCTTGGCTATGGTTTTAACAACTATACAGCTCTCTCTCCGTCTCCTTTTCAGGATAGAAATTAAATAAAATCTGCGAAAACGTGAAAAAAATAACACAAAACCTAGAGAGTAATGGCTGAGAAATTGGCTCCAGAGAAGCGTCACAGCTTCGTCCACGACGGTCTCTAACCCTAATTCTCTCTCTCTCTCTCTAATTCAATTTGTTTTTATTAATATTTTTTTCTGATATTTGTTTTTGTTTAGGTAAAACTATATTTGAGTGGGATCAAACCCTTGAAGAAGTAAATATTTACATAAATTTACCACCAAATGTTCACTCCAAGCAGTTTTACTGCAAGATTCAGTCCAAACATGTTGAAGTTGGCATCAAAGGCAACCCTCCTTATCTCAACGTTAGTTTTTTCTCTTTTTCTTTTGTTTCTTTTTTCTTTTTTTAATTTTTATTTGAGAGTAGATAGTGTTTGTTTGATATGCATAATAATTTCTTTGATTTTCCAGCATGACCTTACTTGCCCTGTCAAGACCGATTCTTCCTTCTGGACTTTAGGTACTTATTTTTTCTCTTATTTCGTAGTTTGGTGGCGTTATTCGTAGATTTGTCTTAAAATTTGTTGGGAAGTATAAATTTACAGTTGGTTCAACTTCTTATGCTCTATGTGTTGCGTGTAAAATTGGTGTTTTTTTGTTACGGAAGAGGATGATATAATGCACATAACACTGCAAAAAAGGGACAAAGGTCAGACGTGGGCTTCACCGATATTGGGTGAGGGTCAACTCGATGCTTATTCCTCTGATCTTGAGCAGAAGCGACTTATGCTTCAGAGATTTCAGGAAGAGGTGAATGACTACAAGTATATTGGACATTTCAGTTTGAGTTACTTCAGTTAATTTGGTTGCATTATCATTATTGTATTTGACTTGTTTATTGAGTATATCATAACGGATTGCTAACATTGTTTTCTTCCTTAAAAGTTTGTGCTATTTTTCTGTTTGATGTTAAGCTTTATCCTGTATCTGTGAACTGTGCCCAAGAGTCTTAATTGCAAAAATTCTTCATTAATCATTATATAATTGTGTGTACTGTCAATGCCGGTCTTCCAAGCAGCAGCAGAATTTTATATGTGAAACTAATTTTTAGATTGTGGTGTGGTTTTGGCATCATGTTTTCTATCATGCTAAAAGATAGCGTTGCACAAGGACTTGTAATTTACCACATGCATGCTAGGTAGATATGGATGCGATTGTATCTGATCATGTGCATTGTTCAAAAGATGATCAGTCACCTTTGGTTTTGATGTATTCCAGTTATTTCAATGATGTTTATTTGATGGACCCCCCATGTGTTAGGATAGCTATGATTTTCATCACTTTGGTAATCATGTCATGTATTTTTGTGTCTCCCTGTGTGAACATGATAAAATAGCAATTTTTTCTTTTGCTGTATGAGCTCCGACTATAAACTTGCTGTGCCCATATTAAACATGTGATTGACATCATTCTATTTGTTAATACCATTTTTCCTTTGAACCAATTTTTTCTGTTAAATTCACCATATGTCCAGCAATGAATTTGCATTTGTGCAAATGCGACTGGAAGATGCATGGAGCTATGTTATTTCCATTAACTTCAAAAAATAACAGCCTTATATAGAGATCTTTGTCCATAAATAAGATTTTTACTCTTTAAGAATCTGCCACAAGAATTTATTTTTTCCAACGTATTCTAATTGCTGAACATTTCTCTATGCAGAACCCTGGCTTTGACTTCTCACAGGCTCAGTTCACTGGGAACTGCCCTGATCCAAGAACTTTTATGGGTGGTATCCGCAATGGTTGACAACACTGCTGTGCCTTTATTAGCATGTCATGAAATCCTGATAATCTTCTGGTAAATGTTACGATGTTTTGTGTTTCTCCCTTAAGTCCTGAGACTTAATTAGCTTACCAGTCTTTGTAGCAATATTTGTAATAAGCATGTGAAGATGTGGTATCACTTTGTTTCTTCTTCTTCACGTTTCTTGATTGTGCAACTGTAAATCAAAGTCTTGTGTTTTTTTCTCGATCTCTCTCTCAACGTGCTTTGTCGATCTAGTTAAAAACCGCTTCTCACTTATTTGGGCTAGAGAAGCAAGTATACCTACCCAAATAAGTGTTTTGAAGTTATTAAGCAAAACTCAAGTCGGCCTTTCAGAGTTGAAGCAGTAGGAATTGACAGCGGCTATGTTGCATAACATGTGGTGGGAAAGCATTAACTTTTTCAAGAATGAAGATTAATATGCAAGTAAATCGGAAATTAGGTTGGCGTCTCTCCGACTATGACCCAGAAGGAATTGGGCATTAAATTTGAGCATTGATTAAAATCAGCGTTGTCAGGGCACTGCAGCACGGGAAAACACGTTTGAATCAGCTTAAACACAAACAAGGATGTCTTCATATTCACTGAGCTAAATTATCTGATAAGAATTTTGTGGAGCCAGTCTGATCGATCATGCAGAACGCATTTCAATATATTAGGATAGCTTTGGATGAACAACGGAGATAAAGATGATGACGGCTCATTTTATTCTCTATTTATTTTGGAAGTACAAAAATCTATTCAAAAATTGTTTTTAAAAAATCTATTTTATATCTGTCTCTTTAATTAAATATATTCTTTATTTTTTTATATTTGTCACTTTTATCCTTGACACTAATTAAATGTAAATCTCACTGATGATGGATTGAAACTGTTGATACTGTTGGATTGCAAAATGGATTAGAAAACAGACAAATGTGACGCGCATGGATTCGTTCCTCCTATATGGTTTTGGCGCAGGAATTCTTTGGCTCTCAACCATTTTCCACTAACTAAAAGGGCTACATTATACTATAGTCTAGAAAACGTGAAAAAAAACATGTATTATAAAAATAAACTCATTGTACTATATACTATATTAAAGATATAAAATATTTATATTGTGGACAATATTGTAGCGTCATGAGAGCGTTGTTTTTACTGTTTTTTTAGTAAAAAATGTTCATTAGATAGCCTAATTCAGTTTGTTTTAAAAAAATATTTGGATCTAACTTTTAACTAGATTCACCAATCTTGGATCTGGTGACACGATTAAAGAGTTGATGTTTTTTTTAAAGTGTAGAAGTGTCAAAGTAATAAATAACCTAGCAAGATCGATGTCGAACTATAAGAAGATTAACTGTATAAACTACAAATAAAGAAATAGATAATAATAGAAAAGGAGTTGAAAATAACTTTTAAGATATGATATTGATGTAAGGATTAAACAATGATACAATAATTGTTAAGGTTAGAGGATCCACTAATGGTATTTCAAACAAATATAATATAAACTATTTTTATTACTCAACTGGAAACCACACACAAAAAAGGTTCTAATTGGATTATAAATTATTAACATAATTACATTTCGAATAATATTAATACTTGTAAATGTTGTCAGGTATTCATGAATAATAACTTATATTAACGACAAAACAAGTTTTTTTCATAGCATAAGTGTCGGTTATACTATATAGTTGGGCTATGAAAGTCCAAAATTTATCAAAAAGGTTGTGGGATTTTCTTCTCCTTAAATGTGGCCCTGAATCGTTGAGACTTAATGAAGGCATACTGGAATAACGTAGTTGAAATGTAAATGTTTTGTACGTGGGATCTCTCTCTCTCTTAAATACACAACCTTTCCTTGAGGTTTTGACTCCGGAGGTTTTGTCAACTTAAGAATATAACTAACGAGGTAATCAAGTGTTATTATAATTACTTATATTATTTATAGCAAAAGGAAGGTGATGACTTGATATAATGCTCTTGATATCTACACAAAAGTTCTTTATTGGTGGATTTAAAAAATCTCAGATGTTTAAGCTAGTATATTTATACAAGAAAGGTGTAATGATATTGCCAAAAAACATTAAAATCTAAAAACAAGGTTATTTGTCTTGGTTTTGCTATGAGAATATAAATTTTTTACCTGAATAATTTAAGGGATATTTATAACCAATAAATCTTGTCTTTTTGCTTGAGTGGATGGACTTGAGAGTCGTTTAGCCCTAGCAGCATTAATGAAGATAAATATATCATATACATGTATTAATAGGAGATAAATTTATCTAATATAAACATTAATGGATGACAAATACCCTTTACATATGTATTAATGGGGATAAATGTTCATGACATGAACATTAATGAGAGACAAATATTCATTACATATGTATTAATGAGAGGGAAAAGTGGTTGGCTCAAGGTATAAAGTTAGGCCTAAAAGGAGCTAGCAAGAGTGTTTAACTATGTCCTTAGGCTCAAATGCAAGGTTAAAAGTCTACAGTATGCTGGGAGTATGCCTAATGCTTAGGCTCAAATATGGAACCTGAGCCTACGAGGGCACTAAGCCTAGGCCCAACATCCAAGCCCAAGGTGTTGGGTGCGGGCCTAACACCTAGGCTCAGGATGCCTTAGCCCAAAAGGTAATGGTTGTTAGCCCAACGTCTAGGCTCGAATGTGTTGTCCAAGCCCACAAGAGTGTTAGGTATAGGCTCAGTAATTGGGCCTACAACCATGGTTTGGGTCTAAACCATGTTTTCAAAGTCTATTATAAGTTTAGGCTAATTAAAAGCATTTTTTTCCTAAAAATACTAATAAATTTTAACAATCTTGGATCTGGTGACACGATTAAAGAATTGATGTTTTTTTTCAAGTGTAGAAGTGTCAAAATAATAAATAATCTAGCAAGATCGATGTCAAACTATAAGAAGATTAACTGTATAAACTACAAATAAAGAAATAGATAATAATAGAAAAGGAGTTGAAAATAACTTTTAAGATATGATATTGACGTAAGGATTAAACAATGATACAATAATTGTTAAGGTTAGAGGATCCACTAATGATATTTCAAACAAATATAATATAAACTATTTTTATTACTCAACTGGAAACCACACACAAAAAAGGTTCCAATTGGATTATAAATTATTAACATAATTACATTTCGAATAATATTAATACTTGTAAATCTTGTCAGGTATTCATGAATAATAACTTATATTAACAACAAAACAAGTTTTTTTCATAGCACAAGTGTCGGTTATACTATATAGTTGGGCTATGAAAGTCCAAAATTTATCAAAAAGGTTGTGGGATTTTCTTCTCCTTAAATGCGGCCCCAAATCGTTGAGACTTAATGAAGGCATACTGGAATAACGTAGTTGAAATGTAAATGTTTTGTACGTGGGATCTCTCTCTCTCTTAAATACACAACCTTTCCTTGAGGTTTTGACTCCGGAGGTTTTGTCAACTTAAGAATATAACTAACGAGGTAATCAAGTGTTATTATAATTACTTATATTATTTATAGCAAAAGGAAGGTGATGACTTGATGTAATGCTCTTGATATCTAGACAAAAGTTCTTTATTGGTGGATTTAAAAAATCTCAGATGTTTAAGCTAGTATATTTATATAAGAAAAGTGTAATGATATTGCTAAAAAACATTAAAATCTAAGAAGGTTATTTGTCTTGGTTTTGCTATGAGAATAATTTTTTTACCTGAATAATTTAAGGGATATTTATAACCAATAAATCTTGTCTTTTTGCTTGAGTGGATGGACTTGAGAGTCGTTTAGCCCTAGCAGCATTAATGAAGATAAATATATCATATACATGTATTAATAGGAGATAAATTTATCTAATATAAACATTAATGGATGACAAATACCCTTTACATATGTATTAATGGGGATAAATGTTCATGACATGAACATTAATGAAAGACAAATATTCATTACATATGTATTAATGAGAGGGAAAAGTGGTTGGCTCAAGGTATAAAGTTAGGCCTAAAAGGAGCTAGCAAGAGTGTTTAACTATGTCCTTAGGCTCAAATGCAAGGTTAAAAGTCTACAGTATGCTGGGAGTATGCCTAATGCTTAGGCTCAAATATGGCACCTAAGCCTACGAGGGCACCTAAGCCTGAGCCCAACATCCAAGCCCAAGGTGTTGGGTGTGGGCCTAACACCTAGGCTCAGGATGCCTTAGCCCAAAAGGTAATGGTTGCTAGCCCAACGTCTAGGCTCGAATGTGTTGTCCAAGCCCATAAGAGTGTTAGGTATAGGCTCAGTAATTGCGCCTACAACCATGGTTTGGGTCTAAACCATGTTTTCAAAGTCTATTATAAGTTTAGGCTAATTAAAAGCATTTTTTTCCTAAAAATACTAATAAATTTTTGGTCCATCAGTAGCCCTCTAGTCTTTGCAATATTTTTACTGAAAAGATTTAAATTTTTTTGTTTTGTTTAATGAGATCCTCATTTTTTTTCTCTATATAAAAAAAACATAAGGGTATCTTAAGACCTTTCGCTAAAGTATTTATGCGTGAAGTAGCATCATAGGTGAAAAAATGCTCATCTTATCTCGAAAAATACCCGGGGGGCATTTTATATGGTATTAATTACATCATTGAGAATTTGAGAGGGTGATGACATGTGTTATCAATCCTACGAAGGTTGGGGGAAACCTATAACTATATAAGAACTTCATTTCATTCCATTTTATTTATAATTCTAATTTTCACTCTTTCAAACTTTTTTCTTAATTGTTTTGCTAAAGTATTCAGATAAGTGAAAAGTGTTCTTGGAGGAGAATAATTGTGTGGAGCTTGGTAGTTTGTCACTAAGCTGAGTTTAAAGGGGCTTACCTTAAGGTAACATACCTATACTTAGCTTTTTTCTTAGAAATATATTTGAGAAGTGGAAAACAAATAGCCTCTAGTAATGATTTTACATTTAGACCAGGACTATCAAACACTAGTGGTTCTAGTAAAGGGTCAGGATCAATTAAAATTGGATCAAAGACTTAAGAGGCTAGTGCCTGCCCACTATGAAATATTAGATTACCTAGGGCTTCTGAGGATACTGATGAAAGTACTTTAACCACCAAACAAATAGCTACGACTAATCGCTAACAGGGAGAGGAGTATTTAGCCATAATTCCTTATAGATCAAAGAGGATTAACAAACAGTCTAAGGGTTCTCACCATGAACTACATG